ATTTAACTAATCAATTATAATTCCGTTCAAGAATAAATTTTTCTAACCCTTAAGTTGAGGATTGGGCTCTCGTTCTTGGTAATATGAAACAGATGCTCCATTTCGATAGCTTTGGGCATCTCCATGCGATTGATTATGGCATGAATCTAGTTCTTTAGATACCGAGTTCCATGCTGTAAAGTAACAATATTTAAATATTATACGTCAAGAGCCATATTTTAATGGGTCATACTTACATTCATAGATGTACTCAATAAGACCAAAATGTTGAGCAGATGACTCACATTGATGTTGAATGGAATTAACTGATGATCTTTTTCCGTTAATTGTTGTTGCTTGTGATTTACCACTGGAGAAATAAGAAGTTCTCATTAACGTTTAAAAGCAGTAATACTAATTAAATGGTTCTTAAATTTGAAGAGACATAATAGAGATTAAAACTTAGTGCTATACTAAAAAAAACTTAGTATTGATTTAAAAAAAAAATGATTTAAAAGTTTTTAAAAGAGATAAGTGATTTATTTTCACTAGAATTTGAAAAATATTTGGAATTTTTTGAGTCACTCTCAAAATTTCAAAAGTCACATTTATCGTTTACTGATATCGCTCATTTTAAAATATGACTATAGTCATAAAAATTTTTTAAAATTAATAAGTAATAATTATAGTTAAATGTGCTGTCAACGAATAAAGCTATGTATAATGCAAAAAAAAACATCTCTACAAAAATTTTATCACTATCAAACATTTACGAAAATTAATGAATTTTTTTAATGTCAATAGTTAATTAAATTTGATAGCATTTATATTTAACTCACTTATCATTTACTTAAATTATGTGATGAATCTAAAAATAAATCGAAATCAAAAAATAATCACTTGATATTTTACATTCGTATTTAAGAAATTGTTTATCATTAATTAGTCTCTAAATACTTTATATGTTTTTATTTAATCTTGATGTTTAACTGAAACTGTGATTTAATTTTATTAGCTGATAACAATTAAACCGATTTGAACGGTATATTTACTAGTATTGTAATTGTAAAAAATTTTCTCTTATTCTCATTTGTGCACATACATATTTCAACTATCGGTTGAAAAAAGTCAAACGATCACATCGCATTTTCAGGAAATATATATTTTGAATATGACTACATCATTATAAAATGAAGTTGAATGAAATTTGTGCAACTGAGAAATACTCTTGGAAAAATAGTTTCTGATGATTAAAGACAATGTTTGACTAAACCTTAGTTTATAAACCACTAAACCATTTATAAAAGAAAGAATCTTTAGGCTGATACACAGCTAAATTAATATCCATAAATTAATGCTAAATAACAAGATATAGCATAACTTTACCTCATTTTTAATTTACACAACGAAAACTATTTTTTCACTGAATTTCAAAACAACAATCTTAACAGCTTGAATCGAATATTGAGAAAATTACTTAAAGGTTTATGATACTATCAAAAATACTGACAGATAATCGCGCTCTCAATAATTACACGCGTGCTTCACATGACTTATGACACACACACGAGGATGCAAATAAAAGGATGCATTCAAAAAGTATTACTTTTTACATTCTGCGATGTGCTTTCAGGTTAAGTTCTAATCCGGTAATTTAAGGATTGTTTGTAACGTCCAACGTGTGGTCAGCACTAAAAATGACGCTTACGGTTGAGTTCGTTAAAAAATTCTAGCGCTTTAACTCGTTATGAGGTTATTAGGTTATTATAAGCTACTCTACATACATACATATGTAATGCCTCTAGACGCATCCAGCAGGTGACGCTACCAGCCAGTGAAATGCAAATTTAAATGTTATAAGTTTGTAAAGTTGGCTACATTGGTTTACACCAACGCCTTATACCTAATTTTTTCTAAAAAAAAAAAAAAAAAAAATTTAAATGTAATTTAGATTATATTAAATTATTATATTAATTCATAATTTAAATAGTGAACACTGTCCAAATTAGAAAGTTTAGGTTCTGTATCGTAGAATATTTATTATATAGAGTATATTTTGTTTCAAATAAATATAAGCTATTATCGAGTACAAAGGGACGTTGTAGTTGAGTTCTGAGAAACCTTAGGTACTTGAGATTCTGAGGAAAAGCCATAAAAGACACGTGTGTGAAAAATTCTATGATCCCTTTACTTGTTTCAACGGCTAAATAATAACGTAACAAATATGTAACAAAGAAAAAGATCGTTAAATACCATATTTTTGTTAAACTTGCTTTAATATAATGTTGCAACGAAATATATAAAAATTAAATTAACAATTTATATCCTGTATCCAACTCATAAATAATTATTAATTAATGTTAAAAGAATAAGATTTTATAAAATAATAGGGGAGGGGGGGCAAAATGGGGTACTTAAGAGATCGCTATGATTTTAAGGACTTAAGTACGTTGATTTTCTCGTTTTCAGTCGTAATTAAAGAAAAATAATCAAATTTCAAGTTGCCGTGGAAAAAAAATTTTTTTTTTTGCGGGCAAAATGGGGTACTCCCTAAAAGAGTGAAAAAAAAATTTCTTCATCCGAAAATGAAATATCGTTAAAAAAATAATATTTTCTTATCGATAAGTCTACGAAAGAACCCAAAGAGAGAAACAAATCACCCAAAAAAGAGACATTGTTAGTTGAAGCACTATATTCCTAACAAAAATTGAGGTAGTAAAAAAAATT